AATTAAATAATCATAATTAATTAACATAATATTCCTTATTAGATTTCTGCCAATAATATATTTATAATTTTATACATACAAATGCAGTAGGGCATGATGTCATCATAATCACTTTATCCATCTCATTGTATATATATATATATATATATATATATATATATATATATGTGCCATCTAATCAATCTCATAACTTCGCTCTCTCGTTAATTGTATCTGAAGTAAATAGATACCATTTACCAATATAATATATCGTTCCTTTATGATTATTGTTTCAATTTGACATTGTTAATTCATGTTCAGTATATATACATACAAACATGTATATATATATATATATATTATAGCACATGTATTAATGTTAATTTAGTATGTAAGTGGAGATCATGAAAGGCACTATTTCAGAACTAATATATCTTAAATGATTTCTACAATATCAGTTTATTAAAATAATCATTATGATTGTAGGCATTCAATTCAATCAAATATTCACGTAATGAGGTTAAGGATTTGACTCCTTTAAAAGTATTAGTAGTTAAGTACGATGTAATTAGCATAATTTAAATTAATAAATTACATTTATAGATTCTAAAAATCACCTATACTTTTGGCATAATTTTATAATTACCGGGAGCACTTTATAATTATTCAATTAATTGATCATAGCTCTAAATTAATTGAATGACAAATTTATAGGTATATATTTGGAAAAAGAAATATAAACGATATGTTGAACTTCTCTAGAGATATGAAAGAATATATTCTAAAGTATAAATCATATATGTTAAGATTATATTATCTTAAATTATTTTAAACTATAGATCATAAATTCTTCATTTAGTACATAAAAAAAACTATTGTTTTATTTTCTAAATCTACGATATGCAAGTGTGCTTTAGAGTTTTATTTACAATATGTTCTATATTAAATGTCTGATATAGTTCGATATTTAAATATGTAGTGTTGTCTTGTTGTTGAAGTAGATTTATAACAAGGTTCTCGAACTCTACCGAAGTCGAGTTGACAAGTAACAGTTTTTAGCCATTTTTATTTGTATTTGTATTTGTATATGATTGACCATCTACTCGGTAATTTTTTAAATAACATGTACGTATATGTATATAAATTTAGGAAATAAAAACCAAAAGAATTTTCATATATTGAATGATGCTTAATATACCCAAAACATGATATCATATCGAAAACAAATACGTACAAAATTTTGGCACAAATCTTGCTTGGAACAATTTAAAAGATTACTAAAAGCAAAAACTAAGACCTATAAATAAATCATCAATAGGCAAAAAGCTATTGATGATTAGAAAAAAGAAACCTTGTATATGACCCACCCATTTGCGAAAAGATTGATATATATTGCTAATATAAGATCTTAGCAAAAATAATTAAAGCTAGAACTTTTCATATATTTGAAGAAACCTTGAAGAGTGAAAGAAATCAAAGATGTAGTGGCAAAAATAATTTGAAGCTACGATAGAAAAATCAACCTTATATGAAGCATCGTTCATACAATCCTCGAACATTAATAACAAAAATAACTTGAGAATCACAAAAAAAAAGAATTGTGAGATAAAACAAAAATTCAAGAACATCAAACAGATTTTGATGAAATCGAATTGGATTCAAACCAATATTTCTTATTTTTGATTGATTTTGATTCATGTCAAAAAAAAAATTGAAGTATAAGCTTTTTTTTTCATTTTCATGAGTCGGCGCTTTTATGTTAATTCGTACTGTACAATTCCTTTGTTTGTGGGATCATTTTCTCACAAGAGGTAATGAAAAGAGTTATGGAATGGATCACTACCTATGCCTAGATCGCGTATAAATGGAAATTTTATTGATAAAACCTTTTCAATTGTGGCCAATATCTTATTACGAATAATTCCGACAACCTCGGGAGAAAAAAAGGCATTTACCTATTACAGAGATGGTGCGATTTGATTTTGGTTATCATTATTTTTTTTTTCTTTATTTACCGCTCCCCGTCTTAGGAATAGGAAAAAGACATATGATTCGGGGTATAAAATATAGTCCAACCTTCTAAACTAAATGAACAATGTCATGCTAAGAAAGAAATTAAGACAACTTCTTAGAAAGAGAGAAGTTATAAGTTTAGGAAATTCATAGTTTAGCGAACTTTATCAAAACCCGAACCAAGACCATTGCCCAAGCTAGGTTTAGGAAGACTTAATGCCACCAAAATTCATAACAAGCTTTTCAAATTGTAATTTTACAAGTACTTTCCTTCAATTATGATACTCTATATCCATTTGAAAAGATGAAGTACCATTTCATATATGATGAATTATGGATTAAGAGTGATAATCAAAGATGGGCAAATTTCAAATGTAAGGTTAATTAATATTAATTTTTGTTATAATCAAAGATTTGAGTATAATTGAATGTGAATGATGTATGTAAATTGAAGATTTGAAACTTATTAAGAACTCATTAGACTAGTTAATAACTAAAATAGTCAAACATGTAAGTCAAGATTTGGGTTAAAAACTGCCATATTTATAACTCTTTTTTTAAATTACTTAATAACTAATGATTGAAAATTTATATATTGTTTGTAATTTTTATAGTAGATATAAATCAATAAATAAATTTATTTTCTCTACAAATCATTTAATTGTTAAAATATATTAACTATTTTATGCTGTAAAAAAATTTGACAATTATGTAATAGAAAAAAAAAACGTAATTAAACTAATTATGGTACATACAGTTATATATTATATAGATGAATATATATATACATATAGAGAGAGAGAGAGAGAGAGAGAGAGAGAGAGAGAGAAACAGAGGATTAGCTCGTGGGAAATTGTTATTTTTTAAAGTGTATTATTTCGTCCCAACAGAAAATACATATTATAAAAAACGATATTATATAATGTTAAGTGACAATAATTGCTAGCTTCCAGTTAGGAAGAGTCAAAATCAAACCCAATAATCCCCCCCCCAACCAATTCCCCCACAAAGATATTTCAAAGGGCCCCACTACCCTACAAATGTGGGACCATCCACACAGTCCTACGGAGTCTCCATATTATTTGTACACATTTTTCTTAACATAATCCTCGTAATTTTTGTTAGATGCACCCCGTTAACTTACAAATTTGTCTTACTTAAATTCCTATACAAACTACAAACTATATATTATTAAATTTTTTGTAACATTTTTTAAAAATAATAAATCTGTCTTTCTCCCAAACTTTGGAAACTTTATAAGTTCAGCATTTTAAAAATACCCAATAATTTTGTACATTACTTTCTATAATTTAATTAATTAAATATCGGCATGATTCTTATGCCCCACTCACTATTTAATTAAATAAAATCAGTTATGTATTAAGTGAATTTATGTGGGTAAATAATGGAGTAATAAATAGTTTATCATAAAGTTCAGTGATGATATAATTAAAAGAAAATTTTAAAAAATAATTTTACTTTTTGGTGTGCTCTAATTAAAAAAAAAAAAAACCAGTGAGATATTAATTAATTGCAGAACAATTGCTATTCACACTCCTTTTTTCACTACTTTTCCAATTTGGTTTAAAAAAATAAATTAAATGAAACAGATCCACTGCAGCACGGCTCACTGTAGATTATGTGGATGCACGTTAAATCAACGTCTATATGTAGAATTGGGTGAGATAGTAATAATAATTGTAATAGTAAATGTAAAAAAAAAAAAAGACAATTATCATTATCAATTGTTGAGTTTTGAAAAATAAAATTATTTTTGCAGAGTACTACTAGTACTTTTAATTAACAGTCAGGAAGAAAGATCGTGAATTGTAATGGAAATCAACGACCGAGATTCTTAAAAAACTAACGGTAGTGGTTCCGCCGCGTTGCTATTTTCACATAATTGTATGTTGAATTCATGTCATGGTGGCATGAACATGAGTAGATCGAGCACATGATCTAGAAAGGGTTGAGAGTGAGTGGAGTCAGGAGTGGAGAAAGAAATATAAGGAACAAAGAAAAGCATGATCGGCCCACATGGAATATGACATGCATGCTCACGACATGATGGTCATCGTCATAATAATTATTATTTTTTAATTATATAAATTAAGTATTTAGATAATTCAATTTAAGTAAATATGGTGGGACAAAATTATAGTTTCTTTTTGTAAGTTGTCACAATATAATATTTAGAATTTATGATTTTATGATTTTGAATTAGTAACTAAATGAATATTAAAATCAATACATTGGAATAAAGTTTTTACTAGTTTTATATTCAATAAATCAGTAATTTAGTATTAAATTTATGGATCAATTTAGTGATGGATTGGGTATAAAATATTAATGTTATGGTGTGACATGTTAATAACAGAAATTAAAAATTTAATATTACAAATAAAACCAAATTATTAAACCATAATTTACTGTATGATTATGATGCATGGATGTATGGATATGGAAGATGGAAGGGAAGAGATATGCAAAGGTTATGTGGAAGATAGAGCTCTAATGATTACATATGGGGTCATGATGGCAACGCCTCCATCCGTAGGAATGAAATGATTAATATCAGTATAAGAGAGAGAGAGAGAGAGAGAGTGAAAGCATAAGTCTGCGCAGCCACAGCCGCCATTTCCACTTCCTCTTATTTATTTATTTATTTATTGTTATTATTATTACTATTTATTTATTTTTATTAGAGAGAGAGAGGGAATGAAGATAAATTAATTAATTAAAGTTATAAATAAATAAATAGATAGATAGAAAGAAAAGATAAGGACTTTAAAAAGAACATTTAATTATTTTTTTTAGAGAGATAATAGTGGATGGGGATTCTAATACGAGAGAATTTTACAGTTTAGAATTATGAAAATAGAAGGGGGAAAAAAAATAAAAGAATTTACCCAAAATCCAGATACCCATATTTATATATATATATATATGTGTGTGTTTATATCTATCTATTATATAGGACGTAGGAGAAGTTGTAGCTACAAAATTCATTAATGGTGTGGACTTATATTAGTAACCAGAAGGAAGAAGAACCAGAAGCCTAACGGCCTCTTTCTCTGTTTTCTCTCTTCTTTTCTAATTTGACCCCAATATATATATATATCCACTAATTACTAATATATATATATATATATATATATACACAGACACATCTATGCGTTTTGCCGTAATATATCTCTGGTTTGGAAGCCTACCCTTCTCTTCTCCGTTGCTTATATCACACGCTATGCAGTCTGTAATTTTGCATTAACCTTGAAACTGCTGCGATTTACCCTTTCTTCCTACAGTTCGTTGTTCTATATAAACCCCTCGTTAGTGTCTTCTTCCACTACCAAAACCAAGCCTTCTCTGTTCACTGTTTTGCATCTGGGTTCTTGTTATCTTATCCCTTCTGCTCTGTTTTTGCCGAGTTTGATCGAAACAGAGAGGAAATATGGTGGACGAGAGTGTGATAGTGGTGAGGGAGTTTGATCGAAATAAGGACCTGTTTGGCGTTGAAGATGTGGAGAGAAGGTGTGAAGTCGGTCCCAGCGGGAAGCTATCTCTCTTCACCGACCTATTGGGAGACCCGATTTGCCGGGTCCGCCATTCACCTGCTTTTCTCATGCTGGTATACCCCATTTTCGGCTTTGTTTATTTATTTCTTGATTCGCTTTTGAAAAACAAAACTAAAAAGAAAACGCGGCAAAACCCACTTTGATAAAAATGGAAACCGGTGAAAAGGATGCTCATCTACATCGTCAATCTAGTTTCCCATAAACAGAGTCCTCTGTTTTTTTCTTTACACCGTAGCTTCTTTCTTTCTTTTTTTTTTTTTTTTTTTTTGAGGGGTTAAGTTTCAAACTAGCAGCGAAAGGTGCTTCTCGCTGACTCTGGCTTTCTTCTCTTTATTTTTCTAAAAGCCTGCAAATATTTATCGTCTTTTCTTCCTCTATCTTTTTGTCATTTTCTTCATCACCAACCCCATCCACTAGTACCATGATCTTATCTCTGCACACCAATACCCCGTTGGCCAAGAAAAAGATATTTCCATTGTCTTTTTCCATTTTGTTTTCGGTATCAAATGCTGTAAAATTTTTGTACTACTTTCTGGGTTTTGCTTTGTATTGTTAGTTGTTGTTAAATCAAATATGCATGAAAGAGAGGAAAACCAGAAGGGACTGATAGTGTTTTTTAACGGCTGCCATTGTTGTTTTCTGCGTGAACTTAACAGGTGGCTGAGATGGGCGAAACGAAGGAGATAGTGGGAATGATCAGAGGCTGCATCAAAACCGTTACGTGCGGCAAGAAGCTCTCTCGAAATGCTAAATATAATAACTGCAATGAACCCACTAAGCCTCTCCCTGTTTATACCAAAGTCGCCTACATCTTAGGCCTCCGAGTTTCTCCTACTCACCGGTTAGTCCGAGAGTCTTCTTCTCTGTCTTCTTTAATCTTCCATTACTGCCCGTCGCTAACCATGTAAACTGGTTTTATTGTTTCCAATTATTGACTCTAATGGTGCATAAAACAATAATTAGCTTTTAATATATATAATAATGGTAATGATGGTACTAATTATGAGTTTGTTCTTAATTAATTAGTTAATAATTATTTATTTATTTTGTCTGCAACAGGAGGATGGGAATAGGGTTGAAGCTGGTTCAAAGAATGGAGGAGTGGTTTCGTGAGAGTGGCGCAGAATATTCTTACATGGCCACTGAAAACGACAACCACGCTTCAATTAAGCTTTTCACTAACAAATGTGGCTACGCCAAGTTCCGTACACCTTCAATCCTGGTCAACCCTGTTTTCGCTCACCGACTCTCCGTTTCTCACCGGGTCACCATCATCAGGGTCGCTCCGTACGACGCCGAATTACTCTACCGCCACCGCTTCTCCACGACTGAGTTCTTCCCTCGCGATATTGACTCGGTCCTCTACAATAAACTTAGTCTGGGAACCTTTGTCGCCGTCCCGCGTGGATCGTATACTGAAGAGTCGTGGCACGGGTCTGAAAAATTCTTGTCCCACCCGCCGGAGTCCTGGGCAGTTCTAAGTGTCTGGAACTGTAAAGACGTGTTCCGACTGGAGGTGAGAGGAGCATCGCGCATTAAGCGCACGCTAGCGAAGACAACGAGGGTGGTGGACCGGGCGTTTCCGTTCTTGCGGCTTCCGTCGATTCCGGAGGTGTTCAGGCCATTCGGGTTACATTTTTTGTACGGGCTGGGTGGCGAAGGGCCACGCGCGGTGAAGATGGTTAAGGCGCTTTGCTCGCACGCGCACAATTTGGCTAAGGATGGCGGATGCGGAGTGGTGGCGACAGAGGTGTCGAGCCGCGAGCCGCTGAAGTTGGGTATTCCGCACTGGAAGATGCTATCGTGCGACGAGGATTTATGGTGCATCAAGCGGCTCGGGGAAGACTACAGTGACGGCGCTGTCGGTGACTGGACTAAGTCACCACCTGGCTTGTCCATTTTTGTCGACCCCAGAGAATGTTAAGAATAGAGAATTTTACTTGGTAGGAAAATGAAAGGATAAAAAGGAAAAAAAAAAAAAGGAAGACAAAACAAACAGGGCAGTAAAAAAGAAAGAAGAAAAACTTTTGTATTTATTTTAGTTGATGTATTTTAGGTGGAGGGTTTAACGGTTTTTTTGGGAAATTAGAAAATATATGAAAATGGTGGGTCTTTTTTTTTTTTTTTTTGGGTGTGTAAAAGGGAATATCCTCACTTTCTTTAATGTTGTTTTGTCTCTGGCTTTTTTGTAAATGGATTTTGCTTTTCCCCCCAAACACGGCCTTATTTTGTTCTTCATTTCGTTTTTTTTTTTTTCTTATGTGGGGTTGGAAATCTTTTTTGGGTCTTTGTTCTTGCATAATGCATTCATATATTCTCTCAAATCCGATGAGAGGGTGTATTATTAAACTTTGGATTAATACTTGTAGTGGCAAAATGAAGAATTTTATGACTTTTTATGATTTAAAATTGGGTACGGTACTAATTTAATTATGTAAGTACGTAGTATTCCATACTAACAACTCCAAACTAATTCTAACACAAACAAAAATTATATACTCTTAATGAATATATTAAGATAGTTTATGTTTAAGATGTAAAGGTTATAGCAACTATTATTGAAGACTAAATTTCTCTTTGCACCTATTCTAGGGCTAATTAATTTCTCAAATAGATTTCAAAATTTTATCAAATTTATTTATAAACCCATATTTCTTTCAACTTAAAAAATATTAAAATCTTATTATATTATGGAATTGATGTGAATTTAAAACGATGCATGAGTTAATAAATATATAGAATATATTTTTAAAACTTTAGTAATAAAGACAGATTTCCTCGATGAAGATTTTAAAGATGCTAGATTTTTTATGTATATATATAATTTATAGGTAAGAACAAAAGTAAGGATATTATTTAAAACGGATGAGGAATTTGGAAAAATCAAGCAAATATAATATGAGAATATCCTAATTCAAAATGAAGGGTGTGCTTGCATGAAATCTCTAGTGACCTTTTTGGTCGAATCGTTTTTATATGCTTTGATTATATGCCGTGTATAAAAAGAGTATATATATATATATATGTATGTATGTATGTGTAATTAAGCTAGTAGCTACTTACCCTTATCCTACTTTTTGATTAATTTGATTGTTCTTAGTAATTAAATAATGGAGGACAAAAAAAAAAATGTATAGGCTTTATTTTGCAAAATTGGACCACCACAGTGTCCTATTGTTTGTGGGTCATGAGTCCTAATCGAGACTCTTAAGTTGTCCTAAAAACATATATTCATTAGACAAAGATATGTATATATATATATATATATATATATATATAGGTCCCTAATGGAGCAACTTTTTGTGGATCAACTTTGGTTTTGTTGGGGATTTTTTTTCTAATTAATTAATTAATGGGGTTGCTTTATAATTTGATGAAATTGATGGGAATTTTGGATTTTAGCTGCTCTAATTATTATTATTTTTTTAATTTTGGGAAATTAAGAGATGATTCTAGTGATGTGTTTCGAGGTATTTTAGATTTTTTGTCTTTTTCATGAATCAAATGCAATTGCTTTTCTCACTAGTTTTGGTGGCTTTAGCTTGGATTTATGGGCCATCATGGAGGTTCTTGGATTGTGACTGCATAAACACATATATGTATATTATATATGTGATAAATAATTACTTTTATATATATATATATATATATTTAAAAGAAATTGATTGATTACGTTTCTTCTAATTGACCATTTTTTAATTAACTTAAACCAAATAATTAGAGAGTATATATTTTGTTTTATATATGCGACAACGAGTTGAATTGAATCCAATCAATCAGTTTGCTAATGTATTTAACTCCCTACCAGTTATTATATATCTTCCCAAGTTGAGTACACCATACGTAACCAACAAAATAATTAAACCTTAAACCTAATCGAATATTAATTTATTATATTGAAAACACATACACACACACACACACACACACGTCTATATGTATATATGTGGAGCTTTCACTGATTGCCCTTCTCCGCGTGTGTGTGTGTATATGTGTATGTCTATGTATTGCAGATTAAGTAGGCAACAAATCTTAGGGAAAAAAGAGAAGAATGGAAAATGGGTGATCAAACTATACATTGTGCATGCACTTAATGCCCTTTATGGTAGTGAAGGTAAGTAGCAAGTCACTAATCCAAGCTGAAGAAAAAGTACACACACACACACACACACACATATATATATATATATGGCTTTTTGAGTTGGGTGTTAATTTCACGAGATCTTGTAGATTTTATTGAGGAAATATCATATGACTCACATGAGAAGAAAGTGAGAGCATTAAAGCACTAAAAAATAATGAATTAGCTTGAGTAGATAACTATATTGTTATTTTGTTTTTTTTTTTAGTTGAAATTTATTACATCTTTAAAGTTTATTATTTAATATATAAAAATTAGTTTAGTTTAAATCATTAATTATTTTACAATGTTATATTATAATTTATCAAGAAAATTATATTGTTATTGAGTCTATAATAAAAGTAAAGTTATTAAGTAAAACAGTCCAAATAAAATTAACATAATATAATAACGAATTTATTTGATTTAACTTAATTAATTAAAGAAAATTTTTGGGTTTTAAATGTACTAATGCTATATTGTACAATTACTTCGTAAGAAAGGAATGAACTTATCAATCAATCGGAGTTTATTTATTTATTTTTATTGAATTAAGACAATAATATGATTAGAGACCCATATATTGGATATTTGCAATAAATTATATATTTATTGATTAAATCTTCTCAATATTACATGTAATGACTCCGGAATGTCCAAAAAAATAAATTATAACTTAAGTGCAGAAATAAAATAAACGGTTAAAGTTTATATTTCTTACACAATAACTTAAAATGTCAAATAGTACTACGGAAATTACCGTTTTAAAATAAATACAACCAAATAAGGAAATAAGCGAAAAATAAATAAAACTAGTATCCTACTCGCAACCATCTTGTGGATCGGACTCTGGATCCTGATCCTCTTGATCTGAAACGGTTAAATGAGGAATGAGCTACATTAGCCTAATAAGAATATCACGTCAACTCACCGACATAGAAATAAAAGTTGGTAGAAAATCAAAACAACTAATAAAGCACTTAATCAAACAAATGCATTTATTAATAATAAAATCATTTATCGTACACTTACCGTAGCGAGATTTATAAAAACAACATATAAAAATAATAACATTATACATATCATGATTTCATCTGTAATCCTCAACATAGCACATATTATACTTTCATATCCAAATAACCGAAACAACTGTCACTTTCCATTAGTCTGCTAGCATCCATGGGAGTTCATAGGGATGTCTCTACTACGCGTGAACCATTTTCTTTAATATTCTCAATTATGGGCCGTCCTCATACTTCGTCCGGTATGAATGTTAAATTATTAAACCTCACTACTCCGTCCGGTATGAGCGTCGAATTATTAAATCTCGCTACTCTATCCGGTATGAGGGTGAAACGGGCCATCCCTATATTCCGTCTGGTATGAGTGCCAAATTACTAAGTCCCAATACCCCGTTCGGTATGAGACAACGTTCACGGTAGGGTTCCCTATTGTACCCGGTCCGTCTACCATCTCCTAGGATATCTAGTAAGGCCGTCGTTTCATCTATTTACTTAATCACACAATTTTCTATTTTTCTTTAGCTTCTATTTTTCCAATTTAATCGTAATCACATAAATCAAATAATGCATGCATTCAAAACTATAAAATCGACTAATAAGGTACTATCATGCATTTAAACTGTAAAAATAACCAACAGAACAACAACATATAATTTTCAATTTTACCTCCATAATTAATTATGAATATTTTTAAAATTACACAAAATACCATATTATTATTTATTTAGATTTCAATTCTATAATTGAGAATAGGGTGAGGGACTCTTACTCAATTTGATACCTGAAAGGTTAAACTATTAACTGCGTCTACTGGCGGTCCCCGGTTATTCTGAATTTTTTTTCAGAAATTAAAACGCGCTATAAGTATCAACAAATATCCCAAAAAATCCAAAATTAGCCTCAGGGTCCAATTTTGGCCAATTTCAGAATTCCAGCACGGGGGCGACGATCCGTCTCGAATCGACTATTTTCAGCCGAATTTGCATCGATCCCTGCAAGAAAATACGTTAAGGAGCCTCGGATGACTGAAAAAATATAAAAAATCGAAATTCACCGGGGGCTGAGCTCTCCAGTGCGGCGGCTCCTTCAGCTCACGTTGCGGTTGGGTGTTTTGCTTCGGTCAACTCGTAGAGAAGGAAACGGTGATCACAATAGTGAAAAAATTACGCTGAATGGGAATCGGAAAGGGCCTCATCAAATGCATTTTGTGAAATTTCCTGCAGCGGTGCCACTAGACCTTGCCCGCAGTTTCTGGCTATGAGGGTGTTTAAAATTGAATTCCGAGCAAATCAAAATTTTTTACCTTTTTTGGCGGTCGGAAGTAGCTCCGGCATGGTGGCGGGAAGTAGCGGTTGGGTCTTCTTCTCCGGCGAGGGTGGCTGGCGGCTAGGGTTAGGGTTTGGTGTGAAAGATGTTATTTATATCCATCCCCATTTAATCTGGGCCATCATTGCGTTTGATCTGGACCGTCTAATCGCGATTAAATAAGGAGTGAATCTGGACCGTTTGTTACGATCTAATATAGGCCGTTCATCGCAATCAAATCTGGATTGTCTGATCCTGTTTAAATCTGGCTATCTGATCGCATTTGGGGAGGGAATGCATCCAGGCCGTCCGTGCGCGCGGGAACGGATCTGAGCTGTTAAATCGCGGGCACACGGATCGCCCGTGTGACTTCCTGCATGGCACTGTGTCAGTGTTCGTTGCCACGTAGCGCATCCTGGTTCATCGGGGCTGCTGATCAGGCATCCTACGTGGTAAAACTTTTTTAAATTATATTTTGACCCAGTTTCTGATTTTTCTTTCAAAA